TCCCCCACAGGCAGTTCCTGTGGAGCTTCCGCCTGCCCGGGGAGGCCCAGAAAATTGACCGCATGATGGAGGCCTTTGCCCAGCGCTACTGTCTCTGCAACCCCGGCGTCTTCCAGTGCACAGGTACCGTGGGGCCCATGCCTGGGCTCTCCCTGGGCAGGAAGGGGAGCGGGGGCTAGTGGTTAGAGCAGGGTGGTGTTGGGGGGGCACTGGGAGCCAGGACTCCTGGGTTCTTCTGGCTCTGGGACAGTGGTGTGGACTCTCGCCTCACTCGGGGGCCGCATACAAGCGAGAAGCAGCAAAACTCCAAATGGGGTGTATACCATTACAGACATAAATAAGGGGGTGCAATCAAATCAACTTGAGAACTACTGTCCAGAATACCCTCGATGGCACTTTGCTTCTGTCACAAGGGGGCGCTGCTGCTGCTCGCGGGCAGACAGGGCTCCTGGTCGTACAGTATAACCGGCTCACAGAACAAGAGACCCACAGGAGACAAACTGTATCTTTAACAAGTTTTATTGTGAGCAATTCAGAAGCAGTTTTAAAAGCTGTGTGTGTGTGTGTGTGTGTGTGTGTGTGATCTAGTAATTAGTAATTAAAAGGCATTAAAAGCAATATTTAAATGGATAATTAACAATCTAAATCTAATCCTTAACCCAATTTAGGAGCCTAATTCTTAATCCAATTTAACACACACACACATACACATCCCACTCACCCCCTGGGGCTGGCCAGACCCCAGGTAATGTTGGTTAATTTGGTTGAGGCACATCCGACGTGCACGTCACCCCAATATGCCGAATTGATGGACTCCCACTCGTGGGGCAAAATGGTGTGGTATATAACCTCTCGGGGGAGACACACAGTCCGGGTCCGGGTGGGATGTGTATGTGTGTGTGTGTGTGTGTGTTAAATTGGATTAAGAATTAGGCTCCTAAATTGGGTTAAGGATTAGATTTAGATTGTTAATTATCCATTTAAATATTGCTTTTAATACTTGTGATGTATTAAACACCTTCTTCGGGTGTTCTCACGACAGATCTTGGGGGCGTCCTGCTTACACCACCCAATTCTGAAATAATGGAGTGTCCTTGACTAGGTCTCTCCCTTGTCCCTCCTTATCTGGGAACGTTGCCTCCTTCTTCACCCTCAGCGCACACACGGTTCTTCTATTTCACACCGTCCTTTTTCTTGAAGTTGTAAACAGTCCACGTCCCTCCAGGGCTCTTGCCTGGACCTCAGGGTGGCCTCTCTCCAGTGGGGGGGTGGCCAAAGCCTCTGAGGGCTGGATCCAGGGACCGCGTCTGGCCCCCGCTCCTGAGGTTCCCCACCCTGGCCTAGCGGGTCATTTCCTGCCAACCGACCTCCCTTCTCCCCCAGACACCTGCTACGTCCTCTCCTTCGCCGTCATCATGCTCAACACCAGCCTGCACAACCCCAACGTGCGGGACAAGCCCACGGTGGAACGCTTCATCACCATGAACCGCGGCATCAACGACGGCGTCTGGCCCCCGCTCCTGAGGTTCCCCACCCTGGCCTAGCGGGTCATTTCCTGCCAACCGACCTCCCTTCTCCCCCAGACACCTGCTACGTCCTCTCCTTCGCCGTCATCATGCTCAACACCAGCCTGCACAACCCCAACGTGCGGGACAAGCCCACGGTGGAACGCTTCATCACCATGAACCGCGGCATCAACGACGGGGGCGACCTGCCTGAGGAGCTGCTGCGGGTGAGGCCGGGCCCGGGGCTGGGGGAGAGAGCTGGGGCTTACCTCGGGGCGAGGTGGTGGAAGGGGCGTGGCCTCATTCTGGCCCCACCCCTGGGCGGGGCATGGCTCGTGGGTGACTCCGCCCCTCGCCCCCCAGAACCTGTACGACAGTATCCGGAACGAGCCGTTCAAGATCCCCGAGGACGACGGGAACGACCTGACCCACACGTTCTTCAACCCCGACCGGGAGGGCTGGCTGCTTAAGCTGGGTGAGAGCGGGACCTCCCGAAGCCCCTCCCCCTCCCAACCTCCCCC